TTACCCACCTGTCCCAGGATCATTTGCATGTGGCCAGAAGACTCCTGAAGTCCTCAAAGTCCAAAGAAATGGTTTTCCCTGAAGAGGAGGCAGTGTGGGAGGCCTGTGATGGAGACGCGTGTGGCTGTGCTGGGGGAGCCACCGGCTGGCATTTTTTAAATCCCGCACTGCGGCTGCCCCTCCCCCTTTCTCTTGGTTCCTGGGGCTGGTTCTGCTTTTTAGCAGAACCTATTAGTTGTTCTTTTTACTTTTGAATGAATTAATCAATTAGCTATTACTTTCTGAGATACTTTCTTTTGGGTGTTGTACCTAATAAAAATGACACTAGAAAGCCACATTACTTTATTGTAATGAAAATTTAAGTTAACATTTTAAATACTATGTTTAAAATGTTACTCTAAAATCAAGTTTTTCTTAAGTAACACTTTTTTTTCATGTCTGGTAATAAAATCTTTGAAATGTTAAAATTGAAAGGCAGGTGCTAAGTTATCACTTACCATGTGAAAGCGTTTAATCTTGATGGGGTCTTAGCAGTCCACATGTCATTGAAGAGGGTGGTATATTTATACGATTTCCAACCTTAAATGCAAAAGTCGATGAAAGTTTACCTTATCATTATGTGCCTCTAAAACAGGAAGAAGAGCCATTCAAAGACATGTCTTTTAGTAAAAGCTGCTTCTAGGTCTGAAGTGTGTCCACAGTGAGGGAGCAGCAGCCGGGCCAGTGTGGGGCCTGCACTGTCTGTTTCATGCGGTTTCCCACTGACTGCACACACTGCAGGCTGGAGGCTGGTGTGGGGCTGGCAGGCCGCCTGAGGGTCAATCATCCGTCTGCCATGGTGACACCCTCTCCTCACTTGCTGGCTCAGCACTGGAGTGGACACCTCTGCGATGGCTCATAGGAGCTGCTCACACCTGTCAGTGGGTGAATGGATGAGTGAGCATGTCCCCTGTGAGCGTTTTCCAAGTATTGTCCAAAGAACACTGACTCCAAACGTTCTGTGGGGGAGTAGCTTTGGGAATAGAGGGTTTTCCCCACAGGGCTCTGGAGAGCCATTGACAAATAAGCTCTGATATAAATATCCAAGAGAAGGATGTCGTTTGTAGCATTTCCCGGACTTAGGTAACCACAGAGCGATCCCTGCCCCCCTCTCCTCCTCCCTTCCTCCTACCCAGGGCACCTCTGGGAACTCACTTGTAGATGCGGGTCTGTTCTAACCATCTGGTCAGCTGATGACTGGAAGCAGCAGTCCAAACGCAGAGGCATTAGGATAACACGGAGATCGTCTTCATGCGAAGGGTTTGCAGGGGCCAAGGGAAGACATCCCGTCAGCCCCCAAAGTTTCTCTGAAAAATCACCTGCTAAACACAGGTCACTGTGGAGAAGAGGCACCATGAGTTTTATCATATCATAGTTTCACATGACATGGGAGCCTTCAGAATGCAGACCCAAAGATATAGGGAAAACTGTCCATTTTTAGGCTTGGGTTCTATGAGGCAGGCACAGCCGTGTAGAAATGTGATGGGACAAGAAAGGCATGATCTGATGTGCACAGACTGAGGGGACCCAGCAGGGCTGTCTGCTCAGACTCTTCTGGCCTCCCTGTGCAGCATTCCTTCCTCCAGGGTGTGGGGCAGGACCCTTTCTGCAACAGGGGTGTTACGACCTACAATCAGACAAGGTAGGTCAGAGAACGTCTTTACAGAGAGGCAGGGGGGAGATGAGAGCATATCTGTGGCCCGCCTTGGGGTAGAGGGATCCTAGTTTCTGTGGCTTGTCTCAGGGGAGAATGAGGCTGAGGGATGGGGGGGAAGGAGCAGATTGGAGGAAATCTCTGATTTTGAGGCTGCTTCTGAGGCCTTCACTTCGGGTATTGCTTTCTGGGCCCCACTAGGTTGAGTCATCAGAACAGACATCCACAGGATCTATATCTCTTACCTAACATCAAACTTCACCAATGATTCAAAAGACACAGGCAAACACTGGGCACAGAGACGCATCCCTTTCCCGGAGGGCCCCCAAACCTTCAGACGCAGCTTACTAAAAATGCGTTTTGGTTGCCGATTAATATAAAGCATTGTGGACAGAGTATGTGAAAACATTGTTCTTCAGGTCTCCCCAGTTCCTACCCCCTCATCACATAGGTGGGGGTGCCTGTGTGCCCACCTCCCATCCTCCCACGGGCCATGCACCAGTGAACCACAGAATCCAGGTTAGATACAAGGAGCTGTTTAGGCACTTGGGTATATTCTGCCTACAAGCATGTTTTAGACAGAGAATCCTAGGTTTCTTTCCACCAGTAAATACTATTAGCATGTTTACAAGGAGGTCTGGGCTGGTCAACCATTCTTGGTGTCCTCAGCCCAGAAGGGGAGAATCGTAGCCTACTGTTAACCCTCTCCTTTCCAAAGAGCCCCACCTCCAGCAGTTCTGATTCGGGAGCTCTGATCCACCTCATACCCACCTCACATTCAACAAGGATTCACCCCCCCATGCTGGGCAGAGAGCTAACCATGAGGTAGCCCATGCCACCACTGTTCAGCTGTTCAAATATTCCTCCCTATGTTAGGCTGAATCCAGTCTATATCATCTCCACTCGTTGGGCGTACGCCCACCCTTTGGGGTTGGAGATGAGCCTAGACCCTCTTTGCCATGACAGTCTTGCAGGTAGCGGATGGCCTCGTTTCCACCTGAGCCTTCGTTTTTTCCAGGCTCCGTCTCTAGCGCTGCTTCTCATTGTCACGGCCACTTCGCTTCACAGACTCCAGTGGTCGTTTCTTCCATAGCTCAACTCAAAATTACTATTAAATCTGAGCAGCACAGAGTTGCTGGAACTATCACTAACCTCATTTGGAACCTTATAGTTTTAATAATGTAGCCTAAAAAGTAAACATAAATTAATTTTAACAAGGCTACATTTACTGGGCACTGTGTGAGTTTCCTATTGCTGCCATAATAAACTACCACAAATTAGCAGCTTACACAACACAAATGTGTCATCTTACAGTTCTGTAGGTCAGAAGTCTGATGCAGGTCTCGCCAGCTAAAGATCAAGGTGTGAGCAGATTTGCATTCCTTTCTGGGGTTTCTAGAGGAGGATCTGTTTCCTTGCACAATGTTTGTGGGCAGAACTCGGCTCTTTGTGGTTGTGGGACTGAGATTCCTATTTTCGTGATGCTGTCAGCTGAGGGCCTCTTAGATTCTTGAGGCAACCCGTGCTGCTTGGCCTGTTGCACCCTCTTCTGTCTTCAACTCCAGCAACAACAGATTGAGTCCTTCTCATGCTTTGAACTTCTTCTGTCTCAAGTGGGAGAGATTCTCCACTTCTAAGGACACTTGTGATGACATTGGGCCACCTGGATGATCAGGATAATCTCACCATCTCAACATCCTTAGCTTAATGACATCTGCAAAGTCCCCTTTGCCCTGTAATGTGACACATTCACAGGCTCTGGCAATTAGGGCATGGACATCTTTGGGGCCATGATTCTCCCAACTACCAGCACTGTCCCTATGCCAAGGGTGTCAGTGTTGTGCATCTGTTATTAAGTCCAAAAGTCATAACTGATCAAGGCAGGGAAATAGCTAGATGAAACCAGACGTAAATGGCTTTCTAGTTGGATGGATGATGGCCAGCACAGTACCGATTCACCAGTCTCTCAGTGAGACTTACTGTCAAACAAAACTCTTAAAATGTCTGCACCTGCTGTACTTTCATTTTGTACCTGTGTACTGTTTAAATCCAAGTGCAGCATCATCTATTTTTCCTATTGAATTTTACCATATTAGATTTGACCCATTGTTTGATTCTGTCCAGGGTTTTCACACATTGATTGTTATCCAATATATTAATTATCTTTTTAGTCTTCTGGACATCTTCAGTCCTGATGAACTCTTTTTGGACCTATCATTGCTAGAAACAAGGGCTGCTGAAGACTGAGATCATTGTGATGTCAGTAAGGGTGTTCCAGTGAAGTGGTACCATGTGGGTGTCCTCCAAACAACTAGCAAATCATCTAACTGAACTTGCACCTAGAACATAGCTCCTCTTCTTGATTATTTACAAGTTTCAGATTTAATCATAGATTTGCAATGTCTACAGCACCTTCCTGATTGGCAGCCTAGCGACCTTGGTAACCATGGCTTGGAGATGAGTCGGCCAAGACTGCTTGTCAGCAAGCCCGCTGACTCCGGGGGCCACCACTCCCATCCCAGGCTGTCCTGTATTCCCTCCTAAGACACCCAGCACCCTGCCTGGAATTGACACCAACCGTTCTGCCTCAGTTGGAAGCATTTGCCTTCTCTCTCTCTGCAAACGAGTTTTGAGATTTCTTATACCAGCTCTGTTCTCCCGGACTCCACAGGCACCGTTCATTGGAACTGGACAACCTAACTTCAACATTCTCTGAATATTTTTGAAATGATTGTTTAAAAGGTGTACAGAGAAGCAAGATAGGAGTTGAGAAATTCTATTTTCTCTAAAATTTCTCTAGTTTTTAGAATGTGTAAGAAAAAAGCCTTAGTCAATGAGACGTGCCTTTGCGGTAAATGAGACACTCAGGGATATTTAGGTTACGAGGGTCTCATTTAGGGCAATACTATATTGTGCCCTACGTGATACCCTAGCAGCCTGGAAAGGGTAGGAAGTCCTGCGAGAGGCTGGCGTTCAGGCGGGTGGTGACAGTGAGTTACTGAGACAGCACCGTCAACGCTCTGCTCAAGGCAGCCGCATCCTGGAAAAGGAGGCTCTTAATTGCACAACTAACTTGAATACAACGATACTTCTAAACCGTATCATCATGTGATTCCTCCCTAGAGCCCCTGAGGCTCTTTCTCCAAAGGACAGTTTGGAACAGAGTGTTCTACAGATTTTCCTAATACAGACTAGTTTTGAAGAAGTATTTCTATGCCCATTTGAGTGAGAAACACTGACTTAGGACACATTTAAAATCCAAAGATAAACAAATCACATTTTAAGAATGAGCTCAGCGAAATGTGTTGTACATGTGATTTCATGACATCAAAATAAGGTCTGGCAAGAATGAAGGTGATGAAGGTCCACGCAAGAAGTGAAGTGGGAGCCTCGGGATGGGACAGGTGGCTTTTCTGTTATTGATTTTTCAGTTCACCAAGAAATGGACAAAAGAGTTAACTCATTTCCCTACATCTCTCATCTACCTGGTGGACAGCAATGTATTTTGCTCTCAGTTTGCTAAAGAAGGTACAAAAATATCTATTTTAAAACTTCTTAATGTCTTTACCATTGAAATTTTCATAACAGAAAACACACAGCTTGTTTCTCCAGGAAGCTGATAATTGCTGTTCAAGATTTGAGTAACGGAGCGAACTGTACAGGACTTTTTACATACTGTGGGGACACAGATCCCAATCTGTCACCACTGCAATTTCCTTAAAACAATTCACACGTTTCCTTGTGGCCAAAGTGGTGGTTTGGGTAGGTCGAATCATTTCCAGTCACTCTGAGTGACTGGCACACAAGTAAACTGGACAATCTTTTTATTGAGAACGCTGTTTCTTAACCACAATAGCATTAACCTCATCATTATCCAGAATTATGCTTTGTTTATATCCAACAGGTGCATAACACTAAGAGATATGAAATTTACAAATTTTGGTTTATTGTGACTTATTCTGTCATTCGAATAGAAATAAAAGTAAATTAAAGGATAGTAAAATACTGTCTCATGAATAGGACATACTTCAGGCCAAACTTACATCTCTGCTCAGAATTCCTTCCCAACGTGTCCAGAATCTCCAGTTCACTCCCAGCGACCTCTTCCTGCTAACCTGGATCCAGCACAAAGCTTTTCCTGACTGCGACCTGCCCTTCACCGAGACTTAGTCACTGCTTTGGGTGCATATCACTATTACTGCTAGTGTTACACAGTTTTATAACTACGCGTTTACCCGCAGCTTCTTGAAGCTAGAGCTTACATTTGACTCATTTCTGTACCTCAGTGCCTATCCTTGGTAGACATTCTGTAAACAACTGTTGAACTGAATTAAATTTGAATTCAGAAAATATTATAGATCATAGTGCAGTTAAAAAATGCTTTCCTTACACGGGGTCCAGCTGGGCGCTGACGACGCTGGGCATTGCTGGCCGTCCCATCCTCATCAGTGCCACCTCCATGTGCTACGAACATCACTTTGTCCCATGCCACCCCACCGTCTGACTGCCCGGCGTTGGTCTGAACTCTCAGCAAACACGCAGACCCCCTTCTCCTCTGTTCTCTGCAGGAGCCCCGCACCCTGCTTTCGTGCCCTCCCATCCACCTGCACTCCCACTCCTTCCCACGGCCTGCACGTTTTCCATCCTGCAGGGCCATCTCAAATCCTACTTGCCCCATCTCAAGTTCTACTTGCCCCGTGAACTTTCTATAAGCCCTCAGCACTCAGCGGGGCTCCTTTCTAGCACCGATTGTCTGTACCAGCACATTTGCACGGAAGGGTATGCAGTGATTTTAAAATTAGCTTTATCGAGGTATCATTTACATACAATAAGTGTCACCAACTTGAAGCATACAGTTCAATGGGTTTTGACAAATGTCTGCACTCATGGGCCCTGTCATAGTGTGGAACAGAGCATTTCTGTCGCCATAGAAAGGCCCCTGGTGCCCCCTTCCAGTCAATCATCCCCAACCCGTGACAATCACTGATCTGATTTCTGCCACTATTGCTTTGCCTTTTCTAGAAATTTCATGAGTGGAATAATGCAGACATAATCTTTTGTGTCTGAATTTTTTACCTAGCAGAACGTCTTTGAGGCTCACCTGTGCTGGAGCACGTGTTGTCAATTTGCTCCTCTTTATTGTTGAGTGGTGCTCTATTACACAAATACACTGCAACTCACTTGTCTGCTCACCAGCTGATGGGCGTTTGGGGTCTTTCCAGTTTGGGGCTGTTATGAATAAGCCTGCTGTGAACATTCAAGTATAAATGTTTTTATTTTTCTTGAGTAAAAACTCAGAGGTCAGTTGCTGGTCCATATGTCAAGCACATATTTAACACTACAAGAAACCACCATGCTGTCTTCTCAGAGTGGCTGTACGATAGTGCGTCCCCCACCAAAGCCTGGGAGCACCAGTTGCTCCAGTCTTCACCCACATTTCTTATCTACCTTCCAAATTTTAGCCAGTCTAGTGGATGTGACATGGCACCTCACTGCAGTTTTAATTTGCATTTCCCTAATGATTAATGACGTTGAGCATCTTTTTTGTGTGTGTATTTGTCATCCATGTATTTTCTTTGGTGAATTGTCTGTTCAGTTTTTTTTTGCCTGTTTTTAGTGAATTGTTGGTTTTTTTGGATATTGACTTGCAAAAATTATTTGTGTATTCTGGATACAGTCTATTATCAGATATAACTTTACAGATATTGTTTTCTCATTCAGTGGTTTTTTTTTTTCATTTTCTTAAGTATCTTTCAAAGAAAAGTTTTTAATTCTAACCAAGTATATGCTTTTTGCAATTTATATAAGAAATTTCTTTCATGCCCAATGTCACAAAGATTTTCTTCTGTTTTCTTCTAGATGTCTTATGTTTTAGCTCTTATACTTAGATCTGTAATCCATTTGAGTTAATTTTTGCATATGGTGTGAGGTCAGGAGTAAGGATAAAATCTTTGTACATGAATATCCAGTTGTTTTTTTATTTAAAAGACTGTTCTTTACCCCAAAGTTACTTTGGCACCTTAGTGAAAAATCGGTTGACCGTTTATATGTGGGTCTCTTTCTGGACTCTATGTTCTGCTCCATTGATTCATGTATCTGTCCTTTAACCAGTAACACATCATGATTATTGTAGCTTCATTGTAAGTCTTGAAATCAAGTAGTGTGAGTCCTATTTTACTCTCTTTTTCAAAATTGTTTTGGCCAGTCCAAGTCCCTTGAATTTGTATATAGATTTTAGAATCAGCTTGTCAATTTCTACAAAAACTCTGCCATAATTTTAGTTTAGATCATGTTGTATCTATAGATCAGTTTGGGGAGAACTGACATCTTAATATTGAATCTTTTAATCCTGAACATGATGTATCTCTTCATTAATTTAGGTCTTAATTTAGCTTCTCTCAACAATGTTTTGTAGATTTCAGCATATAAATCCTGTATAAATTTTGTTAGATGTATCCATAAGGTATTTCAGTTCATGTTTTTGATGCTACGGTATATATGTGCATATGTGTGTGTGTGCATACGTATAGTTTCAACCTTCAGATTTTGCTGCTAGGGTACAGAGTTACAATTGGTTCAGGTTCACGGACAGTGCTAACCCACTGGTAGTCCCAGTCATGGCCTTTCACGTCACACACTGTACAATTCATCTACAGACGCTTTATTTGGGTCTCTTTATAGCTTTCCTTACTCTCCTCGTGGTGCTCACCCTTTCCTCTTCCTTTTTGGATATATGGAGAGTATTTACAGAAGCTGTTCAGATATCTTTCTCTGCTAATTCTACCATCCCTATCATTTTTCTGTTTCCTCATGTAGATGATGGGTCATGTTTTTTGTTTCTTCAAATGTTTGGAAATTTTTGTTTGGTTGCCTGATACCATGAATTTTACATTATTGAGGGCTGGGTTTTGTTGCATTTCTTTAAACAATTTTGGGCTTTGTTCTGGAATGTAGTCATATTCTTGGAATCAGATGAACTCTTTGGGACTTCCTTACAAGCTTTTGTTATGCCCAGAGCACGTCTAATGCAGGCTGTGGAGTTTATTGGGGGGCAGTAGGGGGAGCAAATAAAGCAGGATGATAAGGGATGCCAAAAAAAAAAAAAAAAAAAAAGAAGAAGAAAAGAAGAAGAGGGAGCCTGAGAACAGCAAAGAACTCTTCTTTCTTCCTGTCTGAGTTTGTTTCGAATGGTGGATTTCTAAGTCCCTTGTCAAAGGCTCCAGCTCCGCCCTGCACAGCCTCCTGTCAGTCTCCTGAGCCCAGCCCCTGCCTCACCCCTGCTGATGCTGCAGCGTGTCCTGTGCTTTGTGAACGGTGCTTGGCAACGATCCAGTTGATTTAGCTGGACGGGTCACAAGCTCATGGCTCTAGCTTCCTTCCCAGCCTGAGCAGTGCTGGACACCGGTGGGAGGTTGCCCCTCTCTGTCATGCATTTGCTCATAGCCTACCATTGTCCAGGGACACAAGTCAGGCTTCCTCCACCAAGCCTGTGCTAATCATGCCAGCCTTACCCTTTCTTTCCTGCACTTGGATTTCTGACAATCGTGATGCACCTGTCCCAGCAGATTAGTGCTTGTGAACTGGAGTGTCCACTGGGAAGGTCTGTGGCTGTTAGACATATGCATACCTGCCTCCTGCCTTTCCAGGCGGGGAGTCTCCTTCAGTATAGCTTGTAAATGGCCCTCACATTCAAACCTTAAGAAATTCTACTAGAGTCTCACATAGGTGAGAATCACTGAACTGTATAATAAACTATTTGAAGTCCAGGACTATAAATTTTGCTCAGTAGAATTTTGTCAAATGTAATTAAATTTTGCATGAAGATTTTTGTTTAGATCAAAACCTGCAGTTTTGCTGATATCAACATCTTTAAACTATAGATCAGGGACGGGAAAATTACAAACTTTGGCCAACCAAGTCTGGTCAGGCCGATTTATTTACGTAATTGTCTATAGCTGCTTTCAAGCTACAAAGGCAGATTTAAGTAGTTGTGACAGAGACCATATGGCCTGCAGAGATAAAAACATTTACTACATGGCCCTTAACAGGAAGGCGTTACTGATGCCCACTTTAGATGAATATATTTATGTAAAATAGCCCGAGGTGTGCTTTGTGCTCATGGGGGTGCCATGCTACGGCTTCAGTTCTCCAGCTTTCCAGGAACCTGTGTCACCCGTAATGTATTTTGCTTCCTTTTCTCCTTAGACTCACTCCCACTCTCCTGTCATCTCTGCTGTGGAGCCAGAGGCGTCGAACCGCCCATTTCTGTTTCTATACCAGGCCTGTGTTTTCTGCACAGATCAGATACCACGATGAATGAGGTGAGAACCAATTTTAGTTTCAGCAGAGACTGTAAGTTTGGTTAATTGTGGCTACTTGAAAATCACACTACAGCTAACTTTATCTGCCTTTGTCTTCCAGGAACCAGTGAATTCTAGTGACATTTTCTATTCAAGTGGAGATTATTTTGGGTCAACTAGCACTTCGTTTTACTCCGACGGTGACACCGCACCATGCTCCTTGCAGGAGGTGAGGAGGTTCTCCAGGCTGTTTGTGCCGATTGCTTACTCCTTGATATGTGTCTTCGGCCTCCTGGGCAACAGCCTGGTGGTGATCACCTTTGCTTTCTATAAGAAGGCCAAGTCCATGACAGACATCTATCTCTTAAACATGGCCATCGCAGACATACTCTTTGTCCTCACTCTCCCATTCTGGGCAGTGAATCACGCCACCGGGGTGTGGATTTTCAGCAACGCTACGTGCAAGCTGATTAAAGGCATCTACGCCGTCAACTTCAACTGCGGGATGCTGCTCCTGAGCTGCATCAGCATGGACCGGTACATCGCCATCGTGCAGGCCACCAAGTCCTTCCGGCTGCGATCCAGAACACTGCCCCACAGTAAAATAATCTGTTTCATTGTGTGGGTAGTGTCCATCATAATCTCCACCTCGACTTTTACCTTCAATCAGAAATACAGAATAGAGGAGAGTGCTGTCTGCGAGCCCAAGTACGACATCGTCTCAGAGCCCATCAAGTGGAAGCTGCTGATGCTGGTGTTTGAGCTGCTTTTTGGTTTCTTTATCCCACTGGTGTTTATGATTTTTTGCTACATGTTCATTGTCAAAACCTTAGTGCAAGCTCAGAATTCTAAAAGACACAAAGCCATCCGTGTGATTATAGCGGTGGTTCTCGTTTTTTTGGCTTGTCAGATTCCTCATAACATGGTCCTTCTTGTGACCGCTGCCACCATGGGGAGTATGGACCGATCCTGCGACAGCATGAAACTGACCAGCTACGCCAGGAACGTCACAGAGGTCCTGGCTTTCCTCCACTGCTGTCTCAACCCCGTGCTGTATGCATTCGTCGGTCAGAAGTTCAGAAGCTACTTTCTCAGGATCATGAAGGACCTGTGGTGTGTGAGGAGAAAGCACAAGTCCCAGGGCTTATCCTGCTCCAAGATGTACTCAGAAGCCTTCATTTCCAGGCAGACCAGTGAGACCGTGGATAATGACAACGCGTCATCCTTTACTATGTGACCTGCAGGTGTGAAGTCAGATACCCCTAAAGCACTCGCGAGACATGCTGATAGGTGTTAGGCAAAAAAAAAAAAAAAAAAAAAAAAAAGTTTTTGGCCAGGTAGGCGTGGGAAATTAAACGAATGTAAGCAGGTGTCTTTCCTGCAGGGTCAGGAGCTCGCTGTGCTCACAGCTGTATAAATCTCTGCTCGGGGGTGCTGGGGGACACTTCCTGCATGTACTTGACAAAGAAAGGTTTGTGGCTCTGGAGTACCTTGCATAACTGGTGTTCCCAAAAGGATTTTGGGAAATGTTGAATTAAAGTGAACTGTTTACAAACGTAAAAATTTTCAGAAATATTCATGAAACAGACCACAGTTTTTTTTCTGGTGATAGCACAAAATAATAACACATACAAACCCAAACAGAAAAAACACAGACAAGCCTTCATGTAACTAATTTTAGGCAAACATTTTAACATTTTATCTATCGAAATGTTTACTGTTGATAATTCTAAGTAGCAAAATTGACTGGCCTGTGTTATATCTCATTTCCCTTTGACACACTCAACACACGTGAGACCGTGAGAGGTGGCAGGTAGACAAGCCTAGGGTTCACCAGCTGGAAAAGCTGTGTGGGAAGGTGGGAAAGTGGCTGAATATGCATTGGTGACAATCGTCACTTTGGATAAGGCGGTTCAGGTTGCAACAGGCCATCAGGAAATGGTAAGTTTGCTTTTGTTTCCTGAGAACCTGCTCTCTGTAATGAGGACCCCTCCTCAAGAGGCCGTAAGGCTGGGAGGTCAGTGGAGACGGGGTCTGCCATGATGCGGGGTCTGCCATGATGCGGGGTCTGCCATGATGCGGGGTCTGCCATGACGCGGGGTCTGCCATGATGCGGGGTCTGCCATGATGCAGGGTCTGCCATGATGCGGCTTGTAGCTGTGCTCCTGGTGCCTGGTGGTTTTCAGTACACAAAAGTGGTTTAATAGACATTTGTTGAATGAATCATAATGAAATTGGAGTTTACTGTGCAGTTTAAGATGTTAGATGTTTTTATTTTTTTTTTTTTAATAAATAGAATTCTTTTTTTAAAAAAGAAGAAGAAAACTTTACTGAGACCATATAGGAAGAACTTTTGTTCCGATTCCATCATGTTGCTGAAGAACAGCGTGTGGCTGAAGACTCTGCTTAGGACGAGCTTCAAATCAGCTGCTGTGCCGCTAGGGTGATCTGGCTTCTGATACTGATTTTAAAGTGGTGTCACCCAAAGTCGGGTTAGTTATGGAATCAGATTTTGACAGTCTTCAACTTCCTAGAAATGTATAGAACTCAAGTTTTTAAAGTGCTACATAAACGGAAGAAAGTAAGTGGAAAAATATCAACTCAGGTACAAACGTGTATTAGAAGAGTACTGGCATGAATTGCAAAAATACTGACATGTTTAATCCTGACAAATGTATTTGACACTTTATATTATTCCCATAAGCTTTAATTATGTCTCTATATAAAACGCAAAATGATGTCTTAAGATTCAAAGTCTGTATTTTAAAGTGTGGATGTGGCTTTACAAAATAAAACTGTGTTCTGCATGTGGCGTCGGAACTGTCTCCAGCTTCGAGGTTCAGACAGCGGAGCCCACCCCCCAGAGAGCGGGGTACTTGGGGTGCTTCCTTACCTTCAACTCTTTTAGCGTTTGACCCCAGAAATCAAAGCAAAAGAGACATTACTCACATGCTTCTTTCAGTATGATCAATGCACCGATATGATCTATGGAGATAAGGTTTACGTTTGGAAGCTGACACAGAAACATCTTGCTTATTTGGCATAGCTGGTAAATGGGCTGTTCTACATTATTTAAATTTTCAGATAAGTGAAGCTGACTTCTTTAAGTGATAACCCTTTAACCATTTCACCTATAATGTATAAAAATGCTTCTAAAATATACTACATACTTTACTTCTCCTTAAATATAGCATGTTAAATGGCAACATTTTTCTTGCTTTCTTGGGCACCAGAACAGGCATGTATTGACAGGTGTTTGGTGCTGTGATGTGTTGACACCCTTAGGAGACACTGAGGTAGGTGGGGTTGTTTCCTCCTACACTAAACAGCTCTGGTTGTTCTCCCACAATCCCATGTCTTCTTTTCACTGATTTCCCTGCATCTCCTCTGCCATCAGGCTCTGGCTGTCTCCTCCTGGACCTTACCTTTATCTACCTTTAGTCCCTCCTTGGCGCTCACTGCAAACATTATTCTGCTACGTCTGGTTGGGAAATCAGCTATCTGCACTAGTCAGAATTATGTAGTAGTAGGGTCAATGAGTTAGGACCTACCAGTATGTTATTAATAAAACAAATAATCATATACACATGCATGTATTTATTACATATGTGTAATGTACATGTGTGTGCATTTATATAGGAGGGTACTTCAAAAAGTTCATAGATTCATATTATCTTTGAATTCTTTTTTTATACAAACTTTTTGAAGAACTCTCATATAATCATCTCTGTTTGTGCTAACCAGAAAACAATTTTTCTTGGTTCCTGTTTCAAAGTAGTTAAGATGGTCTCAATCAATTATTTCTGGATAAGTGAGATTTTACTATATGTAAATCCTGGCCGAGGTAAAAATTTAGGCAGTTAAGTATTATCTTGAAAATTGCACACCTTGATAATAGGCACTTAAGTGTTGCCTTGTAAACTGCATACCAATTTGCTTTTGAGGACACATAGACCAGTTTTTAAATGAGGCCAGAAAAATAAAATATTTTAAAATCCTTTAAAGATTTCTGATAATGTGTGCAAATTGCAGGCGTTCTGGAGATATAGGTACAGAAAATCTGGCCTAAATAAACACAATATATGAAGGCACTTCAAAAAGCTCATGGAAAAATAGGATTAAAAGATAATACAAATATTTCCATGAACTTCTCGAAGTACCCTGGTATGTACTTACGGTGTGCTAGGGTATTAGTCTGCTCGGGCTGCCACAATAGAATACCACAGACTGAGCAGCTTAAACAACAGAAGTTTATTCCTCCCAGTTCTGGAGGCTGGAAGTCCAAGATGGAGGTGTGGGCAGGGCTGGTTTCTCCTGAGGCCTCTGTCCTTGGCTTACACAAAAGCTTCTTCCTCTGAGAACACAAATTTCTTGGAAGGACACCAGTCAAATTGTATTAGGGCTCACCCTAAAGGCCACATGGACTTTGTCACCTCTTTAAAGAGCCTATCTCCAAACATATTCACTTTCTGAGGTATTGGGGGTTAGGACTTCAACATGAATTGTTTGGGGGGAGGGACACAGTTCAGTCCACATGACCAGTTTTCTAAGGTAGAGTATATTTCATATTAAAGTTAATTTCAAATACTTGAGAATTCATTTCTACATAGTTTCCTCCTTTCTAATACATTATGTTTCAAATATTCACTCCCACTTCAGGCTTTTCAAATGTATATCCCCACAGAAAGATGACACAGGGTGAGACCACACCGATCTATTTAGCCTGTGCAGTATCTGGGCTCCAACGCCCACCCACCGTGGGAAGCGCTCTCTGAGCAAGTCCTTAATGCCCTGGTTCTCATGGTCAACGTCCTGTCTGTGACCCCCACCCCGAGCTGGGGGCTTCTCCTGCCTTCTCATCCCGCCTCGTTCTTGCATCGCCTCCCCCTTCAGTTCTCCTGCAGTAGGAACTTCCCCAACCCTGGGCTGCTCCCATACTCAATGCAGACGTCCCTCTCTTCTTGGGGACCTCAGGATGGTGACCACAGCTGTGGCAGTTGAGATGGCGCCCGTGGAGGCTGGCACCCCTTGCCCACCCCTTCATATGAGCAGGGTTCTCATGGCTTATGAGTGCAGGGGGGCCCCTGTTTTGTCATCAGGTCCCGGAGCACCTTGCATCCTCCTCAGGACAAGGTGAAGAACGTTGGTGTTTTACATTCACCACCAGACTGTTTGAATCATCACAGCCCCAGGAGGAGAGCAACTCTGAGGCTTTCTATATCCTGCTGGTTGCTCTGTGGAGAACCCGACGTGCTCCCCGTCCTTGTGCTCAGGGATCTCACAAAACGAAGAGGCCGCAGGATGCAGGTAAAGGCCAGCCTTACCTGGGCATGCTTGCAGAGCTCAGAGTGATCTGCTGTGATTTAGTTTCACATTTCAGGATCCAGTACGTACGTCTGCAAACTGCTTTCTTGAGTTGTGCTTGCTAATAGAATAATTTTCCTGATGCTTTACTTAGGTAAAGCCGTATGTATTAGTCAGGGTTCTCCAGAGAGACAGAATCAATAGGACACGTTATAACTATATGAGAGGGATTTGTTAGGGGAATTAGCTCACGTGACTATGAAGAAAAGTCCCATGATAGGCCGTCTGTAAACTGGATGCTGGTAGCATGGCTCAGTCCAAGTCCAAAGGCCTCAGAACCAGGGAAGCTGATGGTGTCTTTGGTGTAAGTCCTGGAACCCAAAAGCTGAAGTCTCAAGCTCTAATGTCCATGGACAGGAGAGAAGAGTGAATCCAGCTCCAGCGGATCGAGAGCGAGCTTCACCTCTTTCCTCTGTCTTTTGTTCTCTCTGGACCCCCAGCATGTTGGATGGTTCCCACCCACACTGAGGGTGGGTCTTCACACCCAGACCACTCAGACTCTCATACTAATCTCTGCTGGAAACACCCTCATGGACACACCTGAAAAGACTGCTTTACCAGGTTTCTCAGCATTCCTTCATCTAGCCAAGTTGACACCTAGAATTAACACCATATAAGAGCTAAAGGCAAGAACTGTATCTTTTCTATTCCTTGGTTTATTTATTTTTCAAATTTGGAATCCCTGCAGACGATGCAGGCTGATTGACACAGCGCTGTTGTCCTCACCTCAAGGCTGTCCTCATGGCCCAAGGGGGCTGCTGTGGCTCCATCCATCCTGTTTCCATTCAACCAACAGAAAGCAGGAAAGGGGGAAGCAGATGGCGTCCTCTGTTTAAGGGCACAACCTGAAAGTTGTAGCATCTCTTCTGCTCC